ACAGTTGATGGCTCTGCATATTTTTTGTTAACAGACCTGAAGAATTCTGATTGCAATGGTTGGATGGATAAGGCATAAAGTCTTAAGCTAAATTTTCGATGACCACATAGCGTATGGTGTAACACACAACAGGCATTACATTTTTAACTTGCTGCTACATCAATGGAACTACACATTGACAACAAAAATAAGAATAATGAGTATTTAAGAATCCACTACCAACATTGTAACGTAGCAGCCCTTTGCATTTGTGATGATTTATGTAGCTGCCCTATTTTATCTGCAGTTTTCTAAGACCACCTATAACTTAACAAGATGCACACACAAATATACAGAATCCTTACTTTAAAAACAGTGCTTGGACCACACACAATGTATCGTAGCTTTCAACAAATACACATTTTGAAATGTGAGATGCCCCTCAATTTGTGGCATACAAGCCCAAGACAAATTTGATATGGTAAAAAGGAATTTTTTAACACTTTGGGTAAAACCAAACATATGAGAGCTTAAAATAGGTATATCACAGCTTTAAGTATAACCGATAGAGCACAACTGTGACATCCAATCGAAAGTATATAAAATGACAAGGGTCTTGCCTAAAAGAGGATGCCAAATGGAGACTGTGATGTACACATATTAATATTCACATTTCTTAACAATATATGAATCAAGATCTAGTATGCAAGATAATCATTGACTGATGGAATTATCATATACAAAAGATTATACTGGATACCTTAAATTCTTCACTGGTATTGATGAAATAGCCACTTTCCTCAACAGCTAGATAGCAATGTGCACATACTGTCATAATAATAATAAAATAAGTGTTGCATTCAACTTTTAGGATCCATGTTCAGAATCAAAAACAAAACACATAAGACCCCCTATAGTAAGTATAAAGTCTGCTGATTCCAGCTAATAAATCAACAAACATGACTCAGACAAAATGATAAATTCTAAAGGTGAAGCAAGCTTTTAGTGCATTATATTTAATAACAACATAACAATAAAAATACTTCTAGCTAATCTATGTGGGAAATGTCTAGATGCTAGACATTACACACCCCACCCCACCCCGCTCTCTCCCCTCCATTTTGAAATTATTTCAGGGAATAACAATGAGAATAAGTCATAATAATTTTAAATTTATTTGGGGTAGTTTTGAAACCACACCCTTCTTAGACCTCACCCCATCATTTTAAAATTAATACCTCTTTGACCATCACAGTTGTTGCACACTTGTAAGCAGAGAGTTCTGGTGGTTCTGAACTTCCTAGAGTTGAACAAGTTCAGTTGCACGCTTCACCATACAAAATGTGTCCAACACAAGAACGTATTAAGCAAAAGAGTATAAAACTGAGAAGTACACACAAATCTGGTTGAGCAGTAGCAAGTGCAAATCAACTGTGTTGACCACTTGCAAGTGTTCAACTTGCAGTTCCACACTTAAAGGGGTTAACCAATTGAAGACTTGAACTTTCATAAAGCTTGATGAACATTCCAATTAAAACGTCTAAAACCTAAAACTGGGGGAGCCCACAACTCATAGTCAAACTACTCACAGGCGCCTTAACACAGGCTCCAAAAAGTTCCCCTTCATTACAGATTTTTTTAAATGAAGTCCTGCAAGATTCAAAACTTATTTTTTATTATTTATTTTTTAGTGGAGGGATCCCAAACACACCTACACATTCGAGTTAAATTATATGGGCCTAGGTACTGCGCGCAGCATGAAGGACAAGTCCCTTGATGAGTAAGAGGTAACCTCGACTCAGTTGCGCAAGCACAGAGGGCTGGCATTGTTCTAACACTTCTCTTCTAGGTTGACCAGGGGAGGCCTGAGCCAGCACTTGGTATCCGCATTAGTGACCACATTCCTCCTTCAGTCCAATCAATCAAGATTTACACATGGTTTACATTTTAAAAAATTAGGAGAGGTGATCTCATTCATAACCAACGAAACAAAAGAAATTTTAAGTCATTGCTAAAGTATTTCTTGCATTCCTCAAATAAATTTAAAATAGGGGAATAAGGTTTTGGATGGGTAAGGTCTATTTTTTACCTATTTATGTTTACAAAAGTACCTACATCACACCAAGTTTATAAAAAATTTACTCATTAGATATAAAATATTTTGGGGGACTATTCCACAACATTGTTGAAGGGTGTCAACTGATAAGCCCACCCACCCCAGCCTTTTTTAAAAAAAAAAAAAAAAAAAAATCTTTGATTCCTTTTCTTCTTTTTTTGTAACAAGTCACTTTTATCAATTCTTGTCTCGATTACCCTGTGCAATTTAAGTTCTCTCCTTACCAGCAAGGAGTTTCGACAGCTACATAAGGTTTCCGATCCTTTCTTTAGAATACATGTTAATTGCACAAACTGAATTTTGAATTGAAATTAAACTAACAAGTTTCATATCAGAAATAATATCCATAGATTAGGATCAAATGAAGACCCTTTTATACTGAATCCCAAAAATAGCTCGACGACAGTTTTCTCACAAGTAACCTCTCAACATAGAATGGTACTTCACTCTACCAGCGTTTAAATTCAACATCAAAACTCATTAATTTTGAAGGCTATAAATTCTTAATAAAGGGTAACCGGGTGGTTTAGGGATCCAAGTAAGTGTACTCCTACCAGCATACATATGCAACCAGTTCTAAGACACATGTCCTCAAATTAATGACAGGGGAATTCTGATCCCACCACTAATAAGAAGTGAGAGTTGAGTGAAGTAGGATCACAAAAATCCAACATGTGATATAGAGATAATGAATGTTTTCCCAACAATTTAAAACGCTAAGTAATTGATATATTTATTCAAAACATAAAATCGATGTTCTGCATTTCGATTACATTCTTAACTAATATTAAACCACTAAAAAATGGCTGATGTTTGTAGCAAGATGCAACCAGAAACTTTACCTCTAGCCATCAAATGTTGGAGGATAGACGATTTGGAAAAGTGAACAAGTACCAGTAAAGATGAATAGATAATCCTTAACAATATCAAGGACAAACTCAACCTGTTATGCTGTTTGTACTGGTCCCATGGAACTGGGTAAACGGAAAGGCGTGTATGAAGAATATTGCTTTGAATTACATCCCCATTGCTAACAGGAAAACCCACATCACATTTTAATTGAAGTAAAGAAATAATAAATAAGATTTAAAAAGAAGATTGTCATAAAACTGAATATCACAATTTAACCAAGCTGTAGTGCTGTTTCTTTTCAGTTACATCTTTCTCCAATGCTCGACTGATTACTTCATAGATACCTTCTTTAACTACCTAACATAAAAGCACCACATCAACAAATTGATCAGTTCATTTTCTTTTTCTTTCTTTTTTCTATAAAATATAAATATATAATTTCATAATTCGATGTAAATTATCTTGCAATTTTGTAATTGAGAAGGTTTAATAATCAGGCAAATTACCTTTGGTAAGAGATATGAATTCTGAAAAGGCCCTAAAATAAAGGAGTAATGTCAGAATTTCACATAACCAATGCGCACTAAAAACAACAATAAAGTACAATTTTTTTTTAACACTTACAGCACTTAGTTTAGTGGCCATTACTAACATCAGAAAGCCATGGCAGGATTCTGTGCAGCACACTCTCCAATAGTCATCCGATACATGGCCATCTCAGAAATTCCATGGTAGTGTACAAATGCAGCGGCAATGACTAAAACGTGGAAGATTTGATGGCTTTGGAACTAGGGAATAAAAATTAAATCAAGTGATTAACATTTTTACAGTTTCCATCAGTTTTTAAAATTTTATGAGATCTTTACAACTTACCCAAATATCACATTTTCCTGGGAAGAACCTCTCTGGGACTCTCAGAGCATAGAACATAGCCCCAAGAATGTATAAGCATCCCATGAGAATGAGCCACCCTAGAGATGCCTGTGACAAGGCTTTGAACCAACCTTCAGAAATAGCATAATGGAATGCAGGTACAACTCCACTCAGTCCAAATCCCATAAAAACACCTAGGTTGGACAAAAATTTGACATAACAATAACAAAAATAAAGACAATAATCTCCAGTTAGAGTTATGCACTTTAAAAGACAAACCTGCTCGAACTGGTCGGTACTTGGGTTCTCCAAAGCGATCCCACATTGAAACAACAATAGATGAGATTCCAAGAACAATGACAACACTCAAATAAATGAGTTTAGCACTAAACTGGCAGTAAAAACTGTAGTAAAGCCAAGGCACAAAGGATCCTATGATTAGCATAGCAATTCCACAGTAGTCAAGCCTGCAACAATTCAGTCAAACCAAACAAATTAGTAAAACCAAAATAAAACAAAAAAAGTGCCAACAATAAGGATTATTTTTTTGTTTTTTTGAATTTGTCATAGTAGCTCAAGAAGAACTTACTTGCTAAAAAGTTTTCCAACAAGCTCTGAATGGCAATGCACAGTGTGGTATGCGAAAGAAAGTCCCAAACAAGTAATAGCTCCAGCAAAAAATACTCCAAATACTGCTTTATCCCATGGTGGCAGTTCCATTGCAGGTGTTGATAGAAAATATGCAGCAATTCCGATAAACATGACACATCCTGAAAAAAAAGGAAAAATCAGTAAAACAAAGCTGGGCAATATGTAACAAATTGTGAACAATGAGAGAAATTTCATAAAAAAATTCATGTGTACCTAGCAGATGGGTCCAAATGTTTCCAGTCTCAGTGTGCACTCGGAAAATAGATGAAAAGCACGCTTTGAAAGAATTCAGTGGAGGGCGATGGCCAGTTTTTAAAAAGTCATTATCTTGAAGCCACTTTGGTAAATGATGGAAATGGCAAACTTTCCATGATGCCATAACCTTGCGCACAAATTCTTCTGCCTGGCCAACAGCATTATGTGCCAATGCACCAAGATCAATTTCATCCATAAGTACTCCAGCTTTTAGAACCTCTGCTATCTGAAAAACATGTGGAGCATGATGTTAAAACAACGATAATAGTACCCTCATCCAAAAGATTGGCTACAACAAATGTGCTTTGAACCTTACCTCACATTCAAGCAATCCCTGTTCAACAGGTGTACTTGGTAGTGGGCATCCAACACCATCATCTTCAGATACTAAGTCAGATGCATCATCACCTTCAAGGAGGTCCTATAACATTTTGAGATTTATGATGGTGAAATACAATTACCAAAAATTGTCAAAAATAAAAGCTTAAACATATTTTTAAATTTATTACCTTTACATCATGCAAACCAGGTACATCAGAACCAATAGACAAAGAATCCCAGGGAACACGTCGTCTTAAGCCCTCTGAAGCCAATTCCTCTTCTAAAGACCCAATGGCATCAGCGTAGTCTGTCATAGCCGGGCGGCGCTGAGCAGATTTGGTCGCTTTGTCAGTTAAAGCAGAAATATCCATTCCTAAGGTACTACTGGCATTAGGTTGTTGACTGGATGTACCAGGTTCACCAAATATTTTGGACGTTGATGGTAAGCACTCAGCCATCTATGGAAAAATAAATTTTTAAAAATGACCACATGAAATTAGGATGAGTTTGAGATCAGAAGTAATGCAAGAATCAGAAGAATCATTCTTTCGATTCAAAGGACATGTAAACTTACTTTAGTGAGCAGTTAACTACCAGGATCAGAAATTATATTCCTTACATGCAGGAGTTAAAAAATTGTCTGCAATAAATAAAAGAAATATTTACATTAGTGAGATAAATTTCAAGTAAATGCCTATCAAAAGCTGTCAAGTGTTTGAACTTTCTTTCAGTAAAGTCAAAGTTTCTAATGATAAGAAAGGTACTGCTGATCCATCCAACATGATGGGGAGGCAGGAAATACGTCATTTTTTATCAGCTTCCCACTGTTAAGCCTACAAGTACAAAGATCATATCGAAAACAAATCATAAACATAAGTAGGACCCACGTAATGCAATCGTGATCGACGTAACCTTTGTACGCGAGCCTAGTCAAAGTTCACGGATGAGACTTCAGCAATGAGAGGTTAATCTACTCTCGGAGAAAGACACCAAGAAAGAATGTTTGAATTACCTCAAAATGCAAATGTTACCGATACAAGAGCACAATTTTCTGTCAAACATAAAACTACGCCCTTGGCTAGGAGACCGTAGGGGACACAAAAATGAAAGTGTTCGATAACAACAACTGACGACTGGAGGAAACGAAAGGGGACTTTTACTATCTAGAAAGCAAAGAAATGTCCTCCTTAGAAAAACTAGGGCGAACACACATCAACACTTACCAGGTCTTTAACAAGAGATTTACGCGTTACAAAAAGCCTGAAAACAGGTGCTGAGAGCAGCCATCTGATTGTTTTACTTCGTGGTGGGGGGGACAGGAGAACAGACGACACGAGGACTAGGAGGGGGTGGGAAAAGACTTATCCAGAAGGCAGAGGTTCACACGGTATGTGTATAGTTTCCCATCCACTGCTATTAATTTACCTTCAAAATTTCGTGAATTCTTTATTTTAAAGCTGGTCTTTCAAATGATTTAGCACGATGGTTCTCTGTGGTGGTGCCATGAAATCCACAAGGCACTGTACGTGTTGGTAAAACTGTGTCTTTTCTCACACCAATTTACCGCCATATTTTTAAAAGTATCAGGAGGGGCTGACTTCAACGGCTTGGCACTATATCTTCTAAGAGGTTCGTGCAAAAAAGAACGTTGAACCAAATGTTGTCAACATAATTTAAATTTATTGTACAGTTTTTACATAGTTCGTTATTGCTGTCGCGGTGGAAGCTCGCTACTTCAGCGTTGTCGCCCTTCCCGGGTTGCGTCCCGGGCTCCGCAAGTGCTCCGTCAGCATGCGCGCGAAGTATACCAGCTTGCACAGCCAGCTGGGCCCGCAGCTGTGTGCGGGGGCGCTCCAGGAGCGGCGCAGCAGGCCGAGGAGGGCGTCGAGTGGAGAGAGCCCCATCTGCCGACGCTGTCTCGCGGCGTCGGCGTCGACCTCGTCGTCGGTCTGTTGTTCGCCGTCCTGCACCGTCACGCCCGCGCCAGGCCGGGAGTCAGCGGTCGCGTTGCTGTGCCCCTCCTGCGGACAGTAAACATTGTATCGATCTGCACGACCACCCCACGGGCCTCGGGCCGCACGCACACGCACATAGACGCTGGCCGTCGAGTCGATGCGGCTGGCGATGGTGTTGGCCCAGGCCTGCTGCTCGTCGCGCTGGTGCCGGTCGGCGGACAGCGGCCCGATGGCAGGGCCGGCGCCCAGGCCGCCGAGTCCCACGCCGTAGTGCTTGTACAGGAGCAGGTACAGTGTCTGGATGATGAAGGCTAGGAACGCCAGCCCCGCCAGGATGGTGAGCGGGTCCAGGCCGATGGGGCTGAAACACAGATGTCGCGATGTCATGTCATCGCCGCCCACGCCAGCCCAGGCCCGTCACGCCCACTACTTACAAGTACGACCCGTAGCCCACTTCGTGGCCGTAGTAGCCTCTGCGATTGCCTGCCGCCTCCGAGATGTCGGTCTCGAGGAGGTCGTCGGAGCGCGGGGAGGCGTAGGGGTAGGGCGCGACGGCCAGGGCCGTACGCGGCGGCGGCAGCACCGGGGCCAGGGGCAGCCCATGCGGCCGCGGGTACGGTTGGAGGCGGGCGCGGCCAGCGCGCGGCGGCCCCTCGGAGCACGGCGGATCCTCCAGGCCCGACCACCTGGAGCCGTCCGCGCTGGGGAGAGAGCCCAGGTACGGGGCGGTGTACAGAGGTGCGCCGGGGTACCCTGAGCTCGCCGTCGGGTGCAGGCTGGTCAAGGACGTAGGGTCAGCCAGGACCTGGCGTTGCTGCTGTTGCTGCTGCTGGGCGGGCACGCCCGGGGCGGCGAGGAGCAGCGCGAGGAGCACCATCACGAGCGGCGGCAGCGACGGGGGCAGGGCGCGCAGCAGACAGCAGCACCCTGTGAACCGTGAGGGGTCATGGAGGTCATGGGGCTGGAGGGGCTGGGGAGGGCGAAGCGAGGCGGCGGGGCCCGGCGGCGCGACGGCTGGCCTCAGCCTGCGGACCGGAGGGTGGGCCGCCCGCCGCGCAGCCAAGCGTGTCGGGTCCGCCGGTGGCCTACCCACAGGCGCTCAAGCACCCACGGTAGCTCCTCCCCCCGTCCCAATGGCCCAAAGCACCAGATCCCGGGAAAAGGCAGAAAAATCCGGTGATTTTAGGTGCTTTGTTGACAGCTTGAGATTTGAAGCGTTTCGGGTGGATACATGTAATGGAAATGCGAGAGCACGTACCGTGCGGATATTTCTAACGAAATATTACATTTAACATATTTTCCCATACGACGACGTCGCGAAGCAATTTTGAGAGTTTTCAGATTCGGCAAAACTTTGGTGGGAAAGTAGGTGACCTAGTAGGGCACGGGGGATCTTGGCGCCGCGAACTGAAGCGTGGCGACGCAGGGGAGGGGGGGGGGGGGAGGGTTTGAGGAGGGCGCCCGCCCCAGGCCTACTTCGGGGATAGGCTAACTTTCCAGGAATAGATTTCGGCCGAGTATTGAATTTATGACTTGAGAGTTGAATGTTTATCGGATGAATTCGAAAGTACGAAAGTACAGGGAACCGTTCCTCTTTCCTACCTCAATAATCTTCTCGGGGAATCCTGACTATCCCTTCTTTCCATCTTTTCTATATCTTTCACAAAGTATCACAGCAAACGCGATACAGTCCTCTGCAGACTGATTCCGAAAAGAGCGTCTAAGGGGGTCCTCAGGTCACTTTACCACGAGTAAGACAGAGACAGTGACTGCTTCCGTCTCTTTAGCCCTCGTGAGGACGAGGCCTCGCATACCCTCCTACCTGCCCTTGAGCTTCCTGAGGAATCAGTCTGCTGTCAATTTAAAACAGTTTTGTGCACCACGAGTATCACGACACTGTACATCACACACCACTACAATATCGCAGTCCGTCACGCCCACACACTTCCGCACTTCACCGCGGATACCAGACGGATCTTCGGGTTTCTTGACGTCTTCCTGGTTGGTCCTGGGGCTTGCACTTGCCTTGACTCGGCGGGCGCCCGCTGCGAGGCCATGCCGACCGCCTCGGACTCATGGTGCGGGGCTCGACGGGCTGGTCCTCACATGGCACCACGTCGACCCTGGCGGAGCGGCTCGGAGCGGAGGCAGGGCGTCGACGGGCAGGAGCCGCGGGCGGACCTCAAGTGAGTCACTGAGATGTCAACGAGACGCCAACAAAGGCTGGCGCCAGAGCCGCACTATATACTATACAATGTGCGAGTCGGGAGGAGGGAGGGCGGGGGTGGGGCGGGGGTGGGGAGCGCCATCCTGGAGGGGAAGAGCCGCCCCACTTGTGTGCGGCTCGAGCACATACGCACATGCATACGAGCGGTGGTCGGGCCGGGCGGTCAGGCTCTGCTGGCCGCATTTCTGTTATTCGCGGGCATGGACCATGTCCGAGCAGTCGCCCTGGTCTTCCCGGGTCCAGCGGGCCCAACTGCCGCCGCAGCCGCCGCGCGGTGGACCTCCCCCCCTCCACCTCCTCTGCCCCCTCATCCTTCGCTTGCACGAGAAATATCGGGTTTTGGGGGGAGAGGAGGGGAGGGGCGATGCCACTCGTGGTGTAGATTTGGAGTGGGAAATTATTTGGGATAGGCGATGTGCGGGGAGCAGATCGGGGGGAGGCAGCGCTGTGTTTATGCAGGATGGTCCACTGGCCCCGGAGTACAATGTAGTGATACTGTACCGCATGTACTGTACCCCGCGTGGACGAATTGCCTGCTCACTAGGGGCTATGAGGCGCCTGAGAGAGAGACGGTAGGCAAGCTCGCCAGCCGGCAGTCCGAGGTACTGTACAACTACCAAATATTCTGGGGTCTGTATGGGCCACCGTAGAGAGAGGCTCTATGCGGAGAGACTGCTGCATTTTTTGCGATCTAATATCTTTAAATTTTGACGTTGATCATCGAGAAACATCCTTCGTTTTCGGAGTTGCCCTTGTACTCCTGGTACTTCTAAATCATGGATTTTCAAATTCAACCCCGCCCCTCCACAAAAAAAAAAAATAAAAAAAAATGGAAGCCCTTAGACGAGCCGTTCTTACGTCGAATATTTCAATTTGACTTCGTGGCGTGTGCTGTCGGAGCCATTTTGAAGTGAAACCAGAAAGTGGCCTGTCTGCTGCCCCCGCAGTGATCTGAAGACGCGTGCATGTCGCGAAAAGCGCCGCGCCGTGGAGCGAGGGAAAGGAATGGGGTGGACAATCTGGACCAGATGAAACGGAAGGTTTCACGGCTCGTTTCCCTCGAGCCTATTCTTAAAACGACGACAGAGTTGTAATTTATGTGAAAAGAAATTGTGAAATGGCAAAAGACTAAATCGTCAGAAGGCAGATTGTCACAGCTTTCTGTGAATAGTCAACATGTTATTTTTTTATTTTTTTTCAATTTCATATTTTTAAATCTCAGTGTAGAAAGAAAACAATACGGGAAATAACTGAAAAACAGTTTTGATCTGTTCTAGGATGTCACTTTTATTTAAATGCCATGTCTATTTCATTATACACATGTGCAGTGAAATTTTACAAAAATACATAATAGTACTGGTATAAAAACTTGATGCAATACAAAGGCACTCTATTGATCAGTCTATGAGGAGTCACATCAAAGTCTGGTTCAGAAAGCAGTCAGAAACTCACACAAAATTAAAACATCTCTCATGAATACTAAATTGATATAAAAGGGACGGAAAGAGATGGAGATTATCAAAACAACTAGATATGCTAATAGAGCAAAATACAACTTGACTGTTTCCATTTGCTGAGCTAATGTCATGACTTAGTTCTAATACAAAAATTGTCATAGTCTAAGTACTGTCATTGCTTCGACTGATGAAGTTACAGTTGATTTGATCGGCAGAGGTTTTCTAACATGTGCAATATCTTAAATAGAAATACATTACGTCTGGTGTGCGTTGGCAATAATACTAGCTGTTGGGTAAGTATGACACAAGTACATTCAAGAAGATGGTTATACCCACTGGACCTTAGGCAATAATCAGATTACTCGCCCATTGGAAGCCTGCGCAAGTCAAATGAGATTCAAGTTATGCATAATTATAGGGCTAAAATATTTTTTACATTATAATTAAAAAAAAAAAAAAAACAGTACAAGGGACCCACAGTTAATATAAATGTAACATACAATAGATGAAAAACAATGTTTAACAAGTAAAATTGTGCACATAATACAGTCAACTCCATTACAACAGTGGACGGAAGGTTGGTAACAAGAGGAATACAAAAAATAGTGCAAAAGCACAATATTTCAATTAGGTATATAAAATTGGTTGAATACATTCAAACTCTTTACAAACAAGCATGAGTAAATTTATGGATAGATAAATCCATTAGGTTATAGATTTTCAAGCATGAACACAAAAATACACATAAAGTCTACCAATGAATAAAAGATATACAATCAAGCTAAATCAACAAGAAACAAGAATTCATTTTTTTTCCAAATTCCCAAAAGTAACTGGACTTCGCCGTATTGAAAACAGAACAATTCATTAATTTTTCCAATCAATAATCTGGTCTGTGACATTTAAGACAGGAATGTTAAAAATCACTAACATTCCACTGGTGTCTTCACTGATATATAAAGTGTGCAACTGACACACACTTTAAGGTGTTTAACACCGTGTGGCACACTTCTATGTGTGCAACATGAGTTTTGAATAGTTGGAAGTGTTCAACAGGTGTGTTGCACACTTTTTAGTGTTTAACTTGAGCGTTGAGCTATAGTGCTCGTCGGTCAGGTTGAACATTTAAAAGTGTGCAACACACCTGTTGAACACTTCCAATTATTCAAACTCGTGTTGCACACATAGAAGTGTGCTACACGGTGTTAAACACCTTAAAGTGTGTGTCAGTTGCACACTTTATATATCAGTGAATTGCTAATTATCTTAAGGATGGATAAAAACATGACAGCAGATAGAAGGCACATTCTTCTCAAAATATACAAGCTTGAATTAGTTCAATTCTACTTATGTTGTGACATTGTAAATATGGCTAATAATGAATGCTACAGATGATGGTCTCATTTTAAGTATCAGATAAGGCAGAAGTCTTAAAAGCCAACTGCCTAAAACTTACATGATTAGGAGATCATGCTATCTCTATGTCCGACAGCCTGCTGGAACTTTCTCCAGCAGACTGTTCTAACCGTCAGGCATAAGAAACTTTTTGTTCATATGTTTTGTCCTCCCAATCATACTCTGGAGGTTTAGCAGTGTGACGAAGTTTACAGAGCTTAGGTCCGTAACGCAACATTACCATGATCAACACTGCCATGCAGAGCGCCAAGACAGCCAATGCAGGATAAAATATGTGGAAAACCATTTTGTCTGTTCGAACTTTAGAAAGTGCACAGAGATTGTAAGAAAGAAATACAAATGATTTCAAATGTCACTCTCCCTTTTCTGAAGCTCCAAATATACAGTGGGTAGGCGCTCGTGGGCTTCGTATAAAACAGGCTCTTCAACGTACTCGACAGTCGGGAGCCAACTCTTGTCTAATTCAGTGTAATCCAAAGGTGGCTGCAGATGAGGTGTTTTTGACCAAATGGGTAACACCCACCGATTTCCTGTCAAAAAAGTAAGAAAGTTAGTAGTGGTAAAAAGGAACATCATACAATTGCTGAGCAAATAGAATTAATCTTGACAGAGTTTCCATTACCTGTATTAGAGTCAGTCCAATAATCTCTGTGCCTGGAGCAGCAGCAGAAGAAAACGTTCAGCAGAATCAGAGCAGCACCAATGACAGTGCAGATGCCAATAGCAGTGTAAAATGGAGTGAAATCACCAGGCTCGTGCTTTGTGAAGAATGGATTTCTCAGATACAAATCACGTTCATCATTCACCACAGACATGGTCCGTCAGAATTCAGCATACCCTGAAAATAAATTAGAAAGAACACATTAATTAAGGAAAGCTAAGCCCTAAGAGTACTAAATTAGAAAAATGTTTTTAATGGCTTGGTTTCAGCAAAGTTCCTGATGCACCGTTTAAAATTATACATTTAAGTTTAAATTGTTAGATGAGAATTTAATGGTACAATGAGAAACAAAACGTAATCCAAAGAAAAACCTAGATTCCAGAACGTGTGAAAAGAAATACGTTAGGAAAAGAGAGTCTAGGCCCTAACAAGGGTGTGGCACTGGGCGTGTGAAACCGAAATACGAACGAAGAAACAGGTGTTTTCCCTGTGCACACGCCGAAAATATGTCGCACGATACACCAGCACATGACTAACGGAGAAGGGTTTCATACATAGTCCAAGAATTTACGAACTATTCACCTCAATTCTTTCGAACGACGCCAAAATAACCGCCAGGTACCCGTCTCTAACCAAGCCGCCCAGCCAAGCCCAAGCCACATACACAACACATACCTAATGAAAATAAACAAGAATTCAACAACAACAAGAGCCTGGCCGGGGTGGTGGGGGAAGACAAGCGACTGCCGCCCGCGCCCGGTGCTCGTCACGTGATCCCGCCCAGCCACTGCCCTCTTCCGGCTGTATCCGGAGTCTGCGCGAAAGTTTGAAGAAGAATGGTCGCGCATTCTCTTTTGTAGACTGCAGTATTATGTGTTTAGAACTTTCTGCCCACGAGCGCCTTTGACGCCTGCGCGCCACGGTATTCTCCCCGTACTCCCACGTGTACACTTTAAGGCGAACTTGCAGCTAAAAGCGCGCCTTGATCCGCCCCTTAGTCGACGAAAGGTGTTTTTACTTTCTTCTTCCCCCTTTCGTTCCTTTCTGCTTTCGTCTGGGTCGGCCGTTGTAAACACAGCTGACTCGCCCTCCTGCCTCCTCCCGGCCAGCCACATTGTTCTTGCGTCCACCATGAGCCGCGACCCCAACAACAACCAGGGCAAGAGGAAGGTGCCGGAGAGCGCGGACCCCTTCCGCGACCTGCGGACCCCGGCCCCGGCGCTACGCCGGCGCTTCACCATCGCCCCCGGGTCGTTGGGCCCCCTCGCCCCCCTCGCCACGCCGGCCGCCCTGCGCGCGCACCCCTCCACCGTCCCCGCCTGCGCCGCTCCCCCTGCTGCCCGTCAAGACCGTCACGACGAGGAGCTGCTAGACCGTGCGGACCATCTCTACCAAAACTACATCGGAGCGGTAGCTAGGAAATTGGTAGCGCAGAAGGCGAGGGCGCGAATTGAGAAAGAAGTGGACGTGAGTAAAAATGCTGCACCATGGACTACCCAATAACACAAAACAGTCACTTTGAGTTATTTGACTGGTTGGTTTGTTGCAACCTTCCTATGGAAGCATCTTACATCTTTTGGTATTGTTTCTGCAGGAACAGTTGTCGAGATTGCAACGAGTGCAAAATGCAATCATTGAAGAGGCCAGTCTTTTGCTTAATAAATTATCAATTTCTCAGTGTTGTGACGGTGTGTCTGAACACCTCAATTTGTTAAATGAAGATATTTTCCCTCCTTTGCAAGGTAAGCAAAATATCTGATAAACCTGTGCAATCCCAATGCAGTGTCCTCATGCATTTTTTAAAAAATAATTTTTTGTCTTAGATCAAATTGCTTCTATGCAAGGTCAGTTGCAAAGCCTTCATACAAACTTGATCAACAACCTGGATAAATTACCAACAAAATGTCTTCAACCTATTTTCATTATGGGAGAAAAATTGGGTCAGTGCACTGGGAGTATTTTAAAAATTTATTTACAAATTCATTCACTGTGTACATCATTCTTGTGTTTATTTTTATGGTTTCCAGATGCAATTGCATCAAGTTCAGAAGAGTTTATAGGAGCCTTATCTCAGCACAGTTCAGTGCTGAAAGATCCAAAGGATTTGACAGCGACTCTGGCGGAACTGCAGATTGCTTCAGCAACTAGTTCAATTTTATCAATCGAACAAGAAAGGTAACTGCATTATCCTCTTAATGCATTAAACCATTTCCTTTCTAAAATTTGTGATGTTGTTTTTGCTTCTTTCCAGTGTGCTGAAGCTCCAAAATGAAGTATATAGCACTGTTGTTCAGCAGGAAGTACCCTGTGATTTCTCCAGTGTAACAATCACCATGTAAAATATATTTTTGGTATAATTTTTGTAATAGAATTTGTTGGTTGGTTATGAATTGCTTATGCGAAAATGATGTGATATTATGTGATAATGTTAATAAATAATATGGCAATGTATATACTCAATTATCTTTTTATACAATGTATTGAACTTAAATCAGTCAGTTAATGTTATACTGTTATAAATTCTACAAAATGGAATGACATTCTAGCTAAATTTATCATAAATCTGTAACAGAATGATTTTATGTGATGAAAATGCAACATGATGAACAGCAATAGCTATCTTGTTAAAATGATTTTAGCAAAGACAGTGTTGGACAATATATTCGATACATTAATGTATTGAGAGTGAAAATGCAATGCTTGAAGTATTTCAAATTTCATGAATTGAGGCGGACAGGTTCCAATTTTTTAACACAGATTCAGATTATTCCATATTAAACTAAGTTGCATCGTTGCACACCTACGGTAACCAATAAGAGCGGCTATCATTTTGTGGAATAGCAAATAGTGGCTTTTTACTGTCTATTTGATAAAAATCAATTTCAATGAAACTTCTTGAACATACGCTATGAATACACATGTACTTTGTACACTGACAAAACTAGCACACAAATTTTTTGACAATTTTTAAGGATGATGACAGAGGATTGTTTGGAACTTCACGCAGAATTTCAAATTGTTTTCATTACTCCTACAGTGATTATGTTAATGCATCAATTCTAATGATGATTCTGCTGATTACTATGAAGGTTGACAATTATGCAATACGTTTGCAGTCTTATTAAGTAAAAAAGGCAAACGTCTAAATATTTCTTTTTAAATTAAATGAACACTTTTATGTAAGTAACAAAATTAATCAGGGAGAGAGCAAAGTAATGACAAATTCTAATATCTATTTGACACAATGGTTTTGCATGAAATATTTCATAGCACATGCTACAAATCTCGAGTATTGTGCAATTTTGAAGACATAATTGAGGAATACATGCATCTTAAAGCTATATGGAGTCTAGAATTCTTAATTTCAAACGTGTACTGGTGAAACACTAGGTAATGACTGGAGACACGAAGAAAGAGAAGTACGATCAAGAGCTAGAACGCTGATTGCATTAGCATTTACAATTGATAAATAAAAATAAATATGAAGTAACAACATGATGAAAGTATCCAGCAGCTTGACGATCTTGCTGTCACTGGAGTCTGCCGTCGCATACGCCCCTCACTTACTGCTTGTTGCGGCGAGTGCCTGGAACACAATTGAGAAAAAAAACAACCTTAGAAAAGGCAGAAAACTCTGATTTGGTGTGTTTCGGAAAGATGGAAAATGCTAGTGCACTGTGAGGCTGCCTGTCAAGTCAGGTCAGGTCAGGCCTCGCCTACCTTTGGTCTTCTTCTGGCCCTTGGGTTTGCACTTCTTGGTGATCTGGCGGGCCTGCTCGCAGGAGGGGTCCGAGTTGGGCCGCAGGGCGTCCGTGCGGGTCATGCGGCCGTTTGCGCAGTCAGCCCATGCGCCCTTGTCGTAGCGGCACGCTGCAACATGCACACGCATGCGGGTCAACAGGACATTGCAGTCGAGAGAAGTGGAAGCAAGGGAAGGACCAGGACGAGAGGGGACAGCCTCCAGCCTCCACGACTCCGGCGGCGCGGTGCGCGGCTCTGGGAGATTTCCACACGAATCTTCCGCGGCTGACTGACCCGACAGGCGCGGGCCGCGGCCGCCCTTCGCCGCCGTCTTGTCTTCTTGGCGCCCTAATAGGGAAGCGGCCCATTTTCCCATTGAACACCACCGTGCTCCTCGCGGCCGCTCGCCGCTCTCTGCAGGGGCCGCGTCACTCCAGGGCAGAGGGCAGGGGCCGCGATCGGACAAGTCGGCCGAGTCGTGGAGCGCGCCGACTTGACGCGACGGGGCCAAAGCAGCCAAGGACACGGGCACCCGGGCAGCTGGAGCGGGGTGCCCAGGAATAAGAATGTCCCATCGCTCGTCACGGCGCGACGGGACGGCACCCTGTCAAGTCCCGGGACACAAATGAGTCCTCGCTGCGCGCCGTCACGACGTGACGGTGACGGCGACTGTTTCCATTCCATTCCGCCCGGGCGGGCCCACCCCGTCCTCGTCTCTGCCCCCGCCCGCTCGGCGCCTGCTCTCCCTTCGCCCCCGTCACGCCCCCGTCACGCCCCCGACGGCCGCGGGGCCGGTTGGCACGCCAAGTGTTGAGTGTCTGTGACGGGACGAGAAGGCCCTGGGCGGACGAGACGGCCTTGGCCGTATCCCCAGCCTCCTCGGGGCGACGCCTTAACTATGTATGCCGCGTCCTTCGGATGACGCTGGCCTTCTAAACACGTCCCAAACGTTTCGCGCCCCTTTTCAAGACCAGGGCCGTGCACTATGCGCACGTCCACGCGATTGGCCCCATCGGCATACCGAGCCGGCCCGGGGTACCGACCCAATCGATTTAAAGGGCTTGACATGATTACCCCGGGGCCGAGTGCGGAGTATGGAGCCCGGGCCCGGGAGAGGAGGGGGTTGGCCGTCTCATCCGCCCTCCTCACTTGAGAATCAGGGTGTCAGCTGGCTGCAAGAGAAAGGGGAGGAGAGAGGGAGGGAGGGTCGCAGGCGCGGTATGGCACTCAGCACAGGGGGGATGCAGATGCACACACTCGCACACTCGCGCGCAGACATGCACGTCAGCTGCCCCGCTCTGCGCGCTCTGCAACGCATGCAGCGACACAACGTTTCACCGAGCGACCCCCTCCCCTGGGGGTGACAGGGACTCATCTCGCGGGTGGGGGGTGGGGACCCCGCCCGCATACACACCTTTCTTGCACTTCTTCTGGATGGTCTTGGTCTGCTCGCAGGTGGCGGCGTCTCCCTTCTTGAGCGTCAGCGTCCTGGTGCGGGTGTTGGTCTTGGTGTCGCACTCGGACCACGCGCCCTTGGCGTAGCGGCAGGGGTCATCTGTGGAGAGACAGAAAAAACAACACACGTCAGCAAAGGTATGCGGTAACGCTTGCACGCCGTTTGGTGAAGCAGCGGATGTGAAAACAACCGCAGTTAGTTGAGGGAGG